CTCAAGGTGATCTGCTCCGTGACCTTTCCTGGTGCTGAGGTCAGACTGACAGGCCTGTAGCTCCCTGGATCCTCCCTCTGGCCCTTCTTGTAAATGGGTGTCACGTTTGCAAACTTCCAGTCAAGTTGAATTTCCACAGGCATTTCTAGAAATCTTTTTTATTATCTTTCACAGAACTGGCCAGTCTAAGTTCCAGTTGGGCTTTAGCCCTTCTGATTTTGTCTCTGCATGACCTCGCAACATCCTTGCAGTGCCCCTGAGATGCCTGCCCGTTCTTCTAAAGTTCACAGACTTTGCTTTTTTTTTCTGAGATCCAGCCAAAGCTCTCTGTTCAACCAGGCCGGTTCTCTTCCTCACTGGCTCAACCTTTGGCACACCGGGATGGCCTGCTCTTGCATCTCCAGGATTTCCTTCCTGAAAAGCGACCAGCCTTCTTGGGCTCCTTTGCCCTTCAGGATTGCCTCCCAAGGGACTTTCTCAACCAGCTTTCTGAACAGTCCAAATCCACCCTCCAGAAGTCCGAGGTGGCAGTTCTGCTGACCCCCCTCCTTACTTCTCCAGGAATTGAGAATTCTATCATTTCATGATTACTGTGCCCCAGGCATCCTCCAACCATCCCATCGGCCACAAGGCCTTCTCTGTTCACAAAAACAGCTTCAGTGGGGCACCTTCCCTAGTTGGGTTACTCACTAGTTGTGTGAGTAAGTTGTCTTCCACGCACTCCAGGAACCTCCCGAAACTGTTTCCTCTCTGCTATATTGTACTTTCAGAAGACATCTGGGAAGTGGAAGTCCCCCATGTGAACAAGGTCTAGCAATCGTGAGACTTCTCCCAGTTGGTAGTAGAATATATAGACATATTTATAAAGAAAGTTAATACCCTTTCATACTCTAAAGACTGACTGGCATAGTAGTTAGGGAGGCAAATTTTCATAACCTCATTCCAGGGGATGTCTGTGGCCAGGTGGAGTCTGCAGTTTAGGCCTCATTCTGGTAGGGCTGGGGGATCAGCATCAGGGTTAGCTCTGTCTGATGGCTGAGTCACATCACAGTATCAAAAGTGATTAGCTTTATTTCTTAGGGTTTTTTGAATCATTCTCATGTTGGCACCATTTTCAGTGTTAATCCCTGTTACATGTTCTTTCACAAATCACCAGAGAATGGGTCTTTTTCTAATTAAGGTCGGCACTCTCCTCCCCATCACCCCTCATTTGCTCTGAGCCAGACGTAGGCTTTACCAGGATAAGTTTCATAGAACTTAGGGGAAAGGCGTGGTTATCCCTCCTATAGGTTTTTTCACTGGAGCCCAAGCGTCCCTTCTCACAATTTAGAAAAATTGCAAAACTAAATGCTGGAATCCACGATGAGCATGGACCTCCCAATTGCCCAATGTATTCTCCAAGATTAGACACACACCCTACACCCATGCGTAGGAGCCTTACATTGGTCCATCACCAGCCCAAGACTCACACACTACTCCCAGGCAAAACTGGCAGATTAAATCCTAGATGAGCAGGTACCTCCCAATTGCCCAATGTATTCCTTAACCTTACCTACACATCACACACCCTTCACCTGCCTGTAGGGTTCAGACATTGGTTCAATATCCCTCCCGCCATACACACATGCACATCATTCCCGGTCCTCCATTTCTCTCCATATCCCAGCATGGATCTGCACATCCTCCTCCTTCTTCTGTCTCAAAATAAAATTCAACCTATTTCACTTCAGCACAACCCTTCCTGCCCCTATTATTTCATGTCTTCTGCCATCCTTTAACACACTGACGGCTCTACATGCACCATTCACTCCCTGGGTTTCCACGTGTCTCCCAAACCCTTCAACTGAACAAGGGGGTGAATTGGCCGAAGGGATTCCCCAACAGCATCAAGGACGATGCCCCCAGATGATGCCCTGTCTCCAAGAAATGCTCCATCAGAGCTTGCAGTTACCTGCACGTATCATGGACCACCTCTGGCACCTCAAAAGTCACCAGGAGTTTGCATCTGAACACCTCACTCCTGGGCTCCATCTCCAGTAATTGCCATGGGAGCTGAGACAAGGAGCTCACCTGCAGCTGCCCATTTTGTGCCCACCTGCAAGAAGATGCAAGAAGAATCCCAGCACCTGTGTGTTTGTGGCAGGCATGGGAGGGAGCTGAGTCCCCTTCTAGCCCCAGGACTACAGACCCAGGATGAGATGCCTCATTGACTCAGCTGTGTCCCTTCCCTCAGCAGGAGGGATAAAAGAGATTAAACCCTGTCCCTGTCTGTGTGTCCTGCCTAATGATGGCACAAGAAAACATGATTCTTAAGCCTCATTGTTTTTCTGAGACATGAAATGACACTGCTGGAAAGAAGGGTCTTTCCAATTTTACCCTTGAGGTCCCTTATGCCTTGTCTTCTATGATACCCCACCTGAGGGAGGGAACATCAGGGATGACTTCAGCCTGTGTTACAGCAGGTTCGCCTGGAGCCCCAGGAACACCTGGAGGGAGCCCCGAGGGGGCAGAGCAAGTGGTGCCTTGGGCTGGTCCTCTGCTGCTGAGCTGGGCTGGGCTCCTGGGATGGAGGGAGCTCATGGCACTGCCGAGAGACAGCTCTGCCCAGGAGCAGCTCCTCTGCAAAGCGCAGCAGGGCTGAGGACACTGCCTGCAGGCACCAAGGGGAGAGGAGAGAAGTGAGAGAGGTGTTACAGGCCGTGTGGGGTGGGAGGATGCTGAGAGGTCACTGCAGGAGAAATCTTGAGAGCCCCTAACACAGTAAGTCTCTGGCTGCAGAGCAATGCACATGAGTGTCTTGGAGGGGGTGTCCTAGACTGAGCACATCTTGCTGCAGCTAGGACCTGGCAGGATGGCTCTCAAGGTTTCTTTACTATGGAGAAGGACATGCTCCAAAATAGGGATACTCTGCCACACTGTCAGAGGACAGGGCATGATGGCTGCTTTCTCCTGGGGTGGCTGCAGGGTCTGAAGCCGTGTGTGCAGGCAGGGGTGCCCAGGGCTGTCCTTCCCAGCAGGGTTCTGGCGCTGCAGGGGGCTGTGTGCTGGGGCAGGGATTCTGTTGCCTGCCAGGGTCAGCACTCAGCCTGCCCGGGGAACTCCCCAGGGTTCTGCAGGGAGAAGCTGTGGGTGGAAGGAGCAATGCCCTGAAGGACAGGGCAGGACAGGGTCCTCCTGCTGTCAAGAGGGTGCTTCACGGGTCAGGGCTGCTCACAGCTCCAGATCACCCCCAGGGCATTTCCAAGGGCATTTTTGAAAGGGAAGGTCAAGGTGAGGATTACTTGAAAGTGAAAGAGTCTGAGCTTTCAGTTTTCTACTGTTGACTGGCTGGGTGCTGAATGACAAAAGAAAATACATCTTTCTGACTTGGATGGGGGTGTAAGAATTTCCTGCTGTTCTGCTGGCTGGTGTAAAGGTTTTGGAGAAGCATCATAAACCTCAGCATCTCTCTGCTTTCAGTTAGAGAGCTCCAGCATCACCTCTCTACTCTCTCCGTGACCTTGCATCCCATTCACAGAACCCTGTTGGTGCTCCTTGTTTCTTTCCCCTCCTGTCTATGCTTCCCTTGTTCTTCCCCTCAGCTGGCTGGAGAATGGGGTTCAGCTGTGGCTCAGATACTGACCCTGTGGGTCCTGTTATCCAGATCAGCACTCAGTAAGTGAGTTCCCTTTTCTCCGTTCTCCCCTGTTTCTCTTGTTGATAATATACGAGCATGAACATGCTTCAGGTCAAGGAGGTGCAAGCACAAAAGAAGACATGGAAAAAGCTGAAAACAAGAAAATTTCATTATTCACTCCTTCCTTCTTAAGTGTCCACCCATCTTGTGTGACCCAGAGGGTTTGTGTAAATAAGGGGTGTATTTAAGTAAAACAAATGAACCAGCAGCAACTTCTTTTTCTCAGATCCATCTTCAGCAGGGCAGGCATGAATGAGAAATGAAAACACGTTTCTGGCTGTACCAGTTTGGGGCAGGCTGCTCTATCTCTGGGGCAGCAGGAGCAGCCCGGGGAGACCCAGGGCTGGGATCTTGTGCTGACCTGGGGAGAGGGGATGGAGCGGAGAGGCTGCACATGTCTCAGGACCTCTTGGAGAAGAGAGCAGGGGACGCATGTTGCCACTGACCTTTTTTGGCTTGTCAAGGCAGGGGCTACCTGAAAGGGAAGGAGCCTGTGCAGAGGCTGAGGCAGAACTGCTACCAGAAGGACCATGGGAGGGGAATTCGGGCACCTCCCTGCCATCCCTGCCTTTCCCAGAGCAGCCCCTGGTCTCCTCTTCCTCCCAGTAGAGCTTCTTCCCTTATGGCTGTAGGCTTTTTGGTTGATGGACCTCCTTAGGAGAAATGCCCAAGTGCCGTTTGTCTCTCCTTGCCCTCCCTCAGCTGGTGCATTCGGCCATTTCTCCACCTTTCCCTCCTCTCCGTGCTGCCTTCTTTCTGCCCCTCACACTCTCTGGAAGCAAGGTGGGTTCAGGTGCAGCTCACACACCAATAACGCTGCAGGGCTTGCCACACAGTTGTGTCCATGGGAGCAAAGTCCATCAGCCTGTCTGAACCTGTGGGTCTCTGGACAGTGCAGTGTCAGGGGCTGAGGAGTGAGCTCTCTCTGCTCAGGTCGCCAGTCTTAGCACACCCAGGAGTTTCCCTGGGCTTCTCCTGCTGGAAGACACTGAACAGCTCCTCTTCATGACAAGGGGACAACACAGGAGGTAAAGAGTGAATTTCAGAAGCTGTCACTCCCTTTCCTAGGTGCCCGCTGCTGTAGATCTGGGATGACTCCTTGGCAGCTCACAGGCAGAGCCCTGCTCCTAATGGCACATATGGCCAGCACAAACCAGAGCGCCAAACAGGGAGATGTATGAAGGTCCTGAAAGGAAGGGGAGAGACAATACGTGTTTGGGATGGTGTTTGGGGGTCAGGGAATGGAAAGAGATTTTCCCAGACCAGTCCTAACCTGTGAGCATGTTTTCATCCTTTGTCAGGACCTGATGAACAAAGGGATCAGATGTCCAACAGCAGCTCCATCACCCAGTTCCTCCTCCTGGCATTTCCAGATCTCTGGGAGCTGCAGCTCTTGCACTTCTGGCTCTTCCTGGGCATCTCCCTGGCTGCCCTCCTGGGCAATGGCCTCATCATCACCACCATAGCCTGTGTCCACCACCTCCACACCCCCATGTACTTCTTCCTCCTCAACCTCTCCCTCCTTGACCTGGCCTCCATCTCCACCATTGTTCCCAAATCAATGGCAAATTTGCTGGGAGGAAAAAGGACCATTTCCTACCAAGGGTGTGTGGTCCAACTCTTTTATTTTTTCTTTCTTATGTCAGCAGAATATTCTCTTCTCACCGTCATGGCCTATGACCGCTATGTTGCCATCTGCAAACCCCTGCACCACGGGACCCTCCTGGGCAGCAGAGCTTGTGTCCACATGGCAGCAGCTGCCTGGGGCAGTGGGTTCATCAATTCTCTCCTGCACACGGCCAGTACATTTTCCCTACCCCTCTGCCAAGGCAATTCTCTGGACCAGTTCTTCTGTGAAATCCCACAGGTCCTCAAGCTCTCCTGCTCAGATGCCTACCTCAAGGAAGTTGGGCTCATTGTGGTCAGTGCCTGTTTATGCTTCGGGTGTTTTGTTTTCATTGTGCTGTCCTATGTGCAGATCTTCAGGGCTGTGCTGAGGATCCCCTCTCAGCAGGGACGGTACAAAGTCTTTTCCACGTGCCTGCCTCACCTGGCCGTGGTCTCCCTGTTTCTCAGCACTGCAATGTTTGCCTACCTGAAGCCCCCCTCTATCTCCTCCCCATCTCTGGATCTGGTGGTGGCAGTCCTGTACTCAGTAGTGCCTCCAGCAATGAACCCCCTCATCTACAGCATGAGGAACAAGGAGATCAAGGATGCCCTATGGGAACTGTTCCAATGGACATGGTTTAATCAACAGTAATGTGCTTCCCCTTCTGTGATCACTTCCCAGAGTTTATTTGAGGCCATGAGTCCGCAGGTTTGTGTTGTGATAATCCTACTTACAGAAAACCTTTTGTTCTTATACTCCTTGTCTTGAGCTTTTACCCAGTTGTGTCTGACCCTGGCACAATGCTGTGTCAGATGTGGCCTGTCCAGATGCAGCTCTCCAATAAAAGTGCCTCTCTCAGGTGCAGCTGAGCTCTTCCTCCAAAGGTGCTGCCAATAAAATGTCCAAATAATTGCTCTTTTAAAGAGTCTTTCCTCCTTGTGTTCTCACTGTGATTGAGGTTCAGTTCATGGTACCTTTGGGTTCCATTGAACCGAATGCTTTGGTTCTAAATTCTCTCTTTTTCTGTGTGTCCAGTGGCAGTGGCGATGGTGCATGGGTTCCCAATTTCCTCTGCAGGCTGCTTCAAATATGAGAGGGCTGATGGCAAATGGACAGGAGATCAGGTACCAATTACTGTCATGGGCAAAGATGTGTTGACAGGCCAAGAGTCAATTTAATTTAGTGCTAATTAAAAAAAAAAAAAAGATCTGAATTGTAAGAAATAATGACAAAAATATTAAAGACCATTCTCCTCACACTTTCTTCCATGTTGAAATTACTCCATTGCTCCCAATTCACCTACCTACCCCAACCCCAAGAGAAGCAGGGGCAATGGTGAAGAGGGGCTTAACAATCAGTAAAGAACCATGTTTGCTGCTCCTTTCACCTCACGCTTCTCCCCTACTCCAGCTTGGGTCCTTTCTATAGGGTCCCACCGTATTTGTGCTCAATGCCATCTAGTCTTCACTGATTTATCTCTTACCTCTTTAGACTCAAAGAAAAATGGAAATGCTGTGATAGAAAGGGACTTCTGGAGATCATCTGGTCTAATGGCCCGGCTAAGGCAGGGTCAGCTGCAGCATATTGCTCAGCATCTTTTCTAGGTGGCTTTGGAATATCTCCATGGATGGAGACTCCACAACCTCTCTGAGCAACCTGTTCCAGTGTTTGACCACCCTCCCATCAAAAAGTTTTTTTCTGGTTTCAGGCAGAATTTCATGGGTCCATCACCCCTTGTCATGTCACTGAGAACTACTGAGAAGGGTTTGGCTCCCTGGTCTTCATGCTCTCCTTGTCATCTATTTAGACACATTAAGAGCCCTCCAAGCTTTTCTCCTCTGGATGGAACAGCCCCAGATCTCTCAAAATTTCCTCCTATACAAGATGCTTGAGTCTTTTAAAGCAACTTTATGGCCCTTTGCTGGACTTGCTTTAGTAGGTCAAAAACTTGCTTGCACTGGACAGCCCAGCAATGGACACAGCACTCCAGTGTGGCCTCACCAGTGCTGAGAAGATGGGAAGGGTCACCTCCCTCCATCTGCCAGCGCTGTTTTTCCTCATGCAGCCCAGGAGGCTGCTGGCCTTTGCCGCGAGGGTGCAATTCTAAATCCTGCTCAGCTGCTTGTCGTCTGTGACCCCAAGGTCCTTCTCTGCACAGCTGCTATAAGATGTCCACAGTGTGGCAGGATCACAGGCCACCCTCCCCCAGAGACATTCTCAGAAGCACTTTGTCCTTCCTGGAAATCAGCTCCACCTCTGGCACAGGCCCCACAGTGCTGCAGATTGACCTCGGACAGCAAAGCTCTCTCCTGCCAGGGCTGCACAGCCAGGCCTGTTTCTCCCTGGCCTTGGGGACTGCAGCTTTTGCTTTTGTTGTGAGAGCCTCATCCACCATGATATTGCCACCTGCCATCCACTCCAGCATGCCTCTGCTGGCAAGCAAAGGCTTTCCACACAAGGGGTCCAATTCCTTGGTACCATGTTTCCATGTGACCAGTCTGCCCTTGGCCCTGGCACTTGCATCATTTGTCCTTGCATCAGACTTCTCCGCTGAACTCTGCAGCTGGGTGCCACACCTCCTGTGCACCATCTCCCCCCTGCTTTCCTTACAGAATTGGCTGCACACGGGCACAGAGAATTTTTCCTATTGGCAAGCAAAGCCAAGCCAAGCACAATCAAGTTCCATAAACAAAACACTCTCTTCCACCATATGCTAGGTACGAGCTGTCTTTAATGAGGTGGCCTTTCTACAAGGGGTGATCTTAGGTGTTGGTTCTTGTATCAACTTTAAGGTTA